TGACGGAATCCGTCGTTGACATAAAAGATGAAATGTAAACAAACATGTCATGTACAATTAAGTGCTCCGAGACTGAAAAATTCGTTGCTCGAAGAAAAGTACTTTTGATTGAGCTAAATTTCGCGTCTATTATGACTTAATTTTATGTCAAAATTGACGCTCGTTTATGTCAGTCTCAGAGCACCTAAATTTACATGAATTTTTCTAAGTGTGCAGTATTTACATCCGTAATTACTGTCACCATTCCAGTCGCCATGTTTTTATGACGGTAACATTTTTATAGCCTTCAAAAATATCCTAGAAATTTCAATAAGCTAATATATAAATTGGATATCTGAAGTTAATTTCGGTGTGCTTCCGTATTACTAAATGTAGACAGATCAATTTTCTGAGAAATTACGATAAACCAATCAAATTCATGTTTTTTTTAAATCAACTTTTTCTGTTAACCTGCACTATTTTGCACATTGATTTAAGGCTCATAACATCTCAATATGCACGATAATACCTAATGCCTTATAACTAAAAAAAAACTGCTAAAAATTCACACCTGCAAACAAAATCGATTGCACGGTGAACTTGACACCAACACCAGATTTATTTTCTCATGGCTTTAGATTTCCAAATAATAATAAAAAAAAAAACAGTCTGGCTCACTATTATAGTTAACGAAGAACTGAACAACAACAAGAGCAGTTGTTGTCGTCGTTGATTTTCCTTATATAGCAGACAATTAGGAGTTCAATCTAAATCTCCTTCACCTTATAGAGTTTAAGTGTAAATCGGATATGAGAATATGAGATAAAGCGTATTGAACTTCTGTTGGAAAATAAATAATATACGAGTTTTAGGAAAGACGTGTTGATCGGAAATCTAAAACAAATCCCTCTCAAGAGTAGTTGTTATCGTAGTAAAAACAAGTTGAACTTGATCTTAATTCTTTTGTGAAATAAGGAGTTTGGTGGCCTTGTGGCGACTGATTTTGCTAACTGAGCAGAAAAAGCATGGGTTCAATCCCAAACTTCTTCACATTACAGAGTTGTACTTTAAATCGAATTTCTTTCATAATATAATATAAAGCGTAATGCGGAAAGCGTCAAAGAGGTAATATTTATGTTTTAAGAAAAATGTGTTGATCGGAAATCCTTCTCAAGAGCAGTTGTTGTGAGGTCGCCGCCTGGATTGAAACATTGTAACAACAAGTTGAATGGAAACTTGATCGGTGCTCGGTGGCCTAGTAGCGACCGATTTTGCTTACTGAGCAGAAGACCGTGGGTTCAAACTCAAGCTCCTTCGCGGTATTGAATCGTTAGGACATCAATTCAGAACAGGGATTTCTCCTCAGCTATTCTGTATTTAGCTTCTATCTGAACGGGATCCACGTCCAGCGCCTTAGCGGCATTAATAATTTCGCCTAACGACAGTCTTCCAGCACCATTTCCAAAGCTGACTTTGATGGTATTTTCACTTCAACACCACCACTTATCTTCAATTTTTGCAACAACAGCAACCGCATACGACCGATGTGCGGGTAAAGACAATGCGCGCATCAAACGATGGTTCTGATCGAGGAAACATACTATAAATAGCATTAACGACACCGAGAGATACAACTGAACGATAGACTATCTTTAGTTTTTGAAACTTCTTGAAGGTACTCGCTATTTTTCTGAATTTAATGGAATCGCCCTAAAGTACTCGAAATTTACCTGAAGTTCCCGCAATTTCCTAATCATGGACCTGCACTGATTTCTCAGAACTGCCCGAAGTTACGTAGCTACCCTTTAGCAACTGTGTACGGGAGCAATTTTTGTGGAACGAGTGTCGGTGCACGTTGTGAATAGTGGTGGTTCCTGGTATCTTGGCACGGCCATTACCCGTAGTGCCAGTGGAAAGCTGACGACAGAACCAGCTAGTAAGAAGCGGAGGAAGCACCAGCGATTCCGAAACAAATACCGATACATTCGATCGGCACGTGAGAAAGCGTCACGAACAACGACGCGATTTGCTGTTTTCGGGCACCGAGTGGCAACGCGTAGCCAGTGCAGATATCAAGCCCGAGGACGTTGCACGTAACACGCGTCGGAGAGATCAGATTCGATTGGCAACTGATAAAAACACCTCCAACTGCAGGAGTAAGTAGTGTTAACAATGTGTTGAGGAGATTCGTTGCGTATGGGAATTTCCCAGGGTGTTTTTCTTTGCTGGTCTAGTTTATCCAAACAGAGCGTGCGGCAACATTCCGAGGGGATTCGCCGGGGGAAGTTTTCGTCTCCACACACAACGAACGGCATTGCGTGCAAGTGCAAGTGGCAGAAGGCCTGACGAGCGTCATTCAGGCGGCGAGTTTGACTGCGGTTCGCTTCATCGTTACCGGTGGTAAGTGACGTACACGGTCAACTGCAGCCGAACGAGCGTCACCCAGGCGGAGGATTGGATTGCGGGCCGTTTCATTGGCACCCACGGCAATCGACCTACGAGGTGCAGCAAAACGATACCGGTTGTGGTTGCGGCCGGCGTACCGTCTTCTATGCAGTTCGTCACGGAGAACGTCATCGGCACCCAATGTGGAACCAATGTCTCCCAAGTACGATTCAGATACAGCGGAGCCAAACTGTGCGGTAGTGCGTGCCACCGTAGAGGTGTGGCTTGGACGCAGCAGAATCATCGAGCGGTCCGGAAGATCGAGAATCGGTGCGTAGGAGGATGGATGTGGCATTAGTCAATCGGGGCCCCGTAAGAAGAGTAGAAACCTAACTGTGAGTACATAGGCCGAAATAATAACATGATACAGACGAGAAAAGAACAGTAAGGATGTGAGAGGTAGGAGTCTTTCGTATCAGACGCAAATTATAATGTTAAAATGACAATATTGGTCTGAATATATGTTTTTTTCTTCCTAAATTTGGTTTGCGCCTTCTTTTATGGATTTGAGTGAAGAGTCTCATTACAACTCAATTGATGTTTTGGCATCTTCAGTAAAGTTCCTGTAATTTTCTTGAATTTAATGGAACTGCCCTGAAGCTCATTCATCTTTATTGAAGCTCTCGATTTTTTCCAGAAATCTATTGAACTGCCCTAAACCTACCCCAACTTACTTTAAAGTTCCATGTTGTTTTGCATGTTCTTGAAATTCTCAGAACTTATTGAAATTTCCCGAAATTTTTCAGATGCTAATGGATCGTTAATAGACATAATGTTTTCAAAATTTTCCACAAGTTCAGATGCTCATGAATTCGATTAAGATTTCTGAACTGTGTTTTTGGAACATCTGTAAAGCTCCTACATCTTATTGAAGTTAATTAAACGGACCTAAAGTTCTCAAAATTTTCTTTAAGTTTTCAGAATTTTCTTCATGTGTCCACAATCCTGAAGTCATTAAAATTTTCTGGAAGCCCTCTAAACTTTTCGGAAGATCTTGGAGCTTACGTGAAGTATTCTGAAGTTTCATTAAGTTCTTATGAAGCACCTGAAATTTTCTTAATGTTAATGGAACTGTCGTTCTCTGATTTTCATCAAATTTCATGAAATTTTCTTGAAATTCTAGGGTCAGCAGTGGTGTTCTTATAATGTATACTAAAGGATCTATAATGATCCTCAAAGTGTTGAACTTTCCTGTAGTTCCCAGAACTTTCCTAAAGTTTTTGAAAGATCTCTGAATGTTTCCGATTTCCCTAAAGTTCATGGAACATCACTGATGTTTTCAAAATTGATCTTAAGAGCTCTGAACTTCCATAATTTTTTGAGGAGTTCTCTGAGCTTCTCAAAACTTCTAAAAAGTTCCTGTATTTTTTCAAAAATCAATGGAAGTTTCTTAAAGTTCTCGGGTCTTCTTATTCTTCTTCTTCTTATTTTGCGTATTGCTTATCGCATACTAGCTTATTGTATGCTCACAACTTAGCGTTCTAGATGTACTTCCACAGCTATTAATTGAGAGCTTTCGATGGCTGTACCAGTTTTGCATTAGTATAATTGTGTGGCAAGTACAATCATACTCTATGCATACCCTAGCAACACACTTGTCACTGAATAATTGTGGTTACTTGTGTGCAACCCGTTCCAGTCACAATCAAGTTGCAGCAACTTATTTCGATTGAAGTGTGCTGCTTGGGTAGGGAAGTCAAGAAATTTTACTATGCGGAAAAATCCTAGACCAGACCGGGAATCGAACCCAGTCACATTTAGCATTGTCTTGCTTTGTAGCTGCGCCTTTTAGCTAAGGGAGGCTCTCGGATATGTACCACATACAAAAAACTTTTAAAAAACGACCAACTAAGGTTGAAACAGTCATCAGTGCTGCAAAATCTCGACAATACACGGCGATATTCAAAATTCTGCTTTGGTTAGTCATTTGAGCTAACAGTCATCGTCAAAGCAAACCGTGTTAATTGCCAGTGACGATGCTATCAGTGCCGAACATGTGCAGATATTTTAATTAGCTTAATTTTAAATGAAATTAAATGACTAGAGCAAAACAATCAACTGGAGCCTTTAAAGTGAACAACTGTTTGGATAACAATAATGTGACACACAATGCACGAAATTAAACTTTTTGTTACCATTGACGAAAAAATGGATGAGATTTTGGCAAAGCTTTTTTTGAGGATCAAGTCTATCATTGAATAAAATTTTTGTTAACATCACCTGAAAGGCTGTCAATGACAATGACAAATCTCAGCACTGACATTGACAAGCTAAAATTTCTAAATATATTTAAATGTTTGGATTAAATTCTATTATGTAATTTACATGCATACATATTTTTACAAGTATACAAACATTTGTTTTTATCTCAAGGGGAGGAGCGCCTTGTGACAAGTAATAGATGGGCGCATCTAGATCAATATTTCTCATTAGTAACAACCATGACAGGCCTACTGCTAATAGGCTATAATAAAACATGGAATGTTACTTGATGATATTCTTCTTAAATGAATAACTGTGCAGATGCTTGATTTAATCCAATAACATTCCCCCGTTTTCTTCATCACTTCTTTCAGAGCCTTTGGCGCCAAATGTTCAAAATGCTCGCGATCGATCGCCCCCTCCGATTGGGTTCGAAAAGCTCGAGACCTAGTGTTCCACCTGGCTTGCTTTTCCTGTGACACCTGCGGCCGACAGCTTTCCACCGGGGAACAGTTTGCCTTGATCGACGACAAAGTCATGTGCAAGATTCACTACATGGACAACGCCGATGAGTCAAACTCCAGTGACGGTAGGTAAAAGCTTCCTCTGTTATGCTTGAATGATTTTATATAGCTTTTTAACGATCTCAAACTGGACGACTCTACATCGCATCGCGGGCATCCAGATGGTTGCAGTACCGATGGCTTCAATAAAAACAAATCGAAACGGGTGCGGACGACGTTCACCGAGGAGCAGCTTCACATTCTGCAGGCAAACTTCCAAATCGACAGCAATCCGGACGGGCAGGATCTGGAGAGGATAGCTCAACTAACGGGACTCAGCAAGAGGGTTACCCAGGTGTGGTTCCAGAATTCCAGAGCCAGACAGAAAAAGCATACACACGGTGAGTTAGGCAAGGGATGGCACTGTCGTGAGATTCGAAATTGATAGAACTTTCTTAATTCCCAACAGTTTCTCGCGATCACAGTGCTGGAATGTACAACGCCCTCCGACAGGATCTCAACAACAACAGTAATACAAGCCTCAGTGATAACGACAGTGGCATGGGAAAACCACCATCCATGTTCAATCAGCATGGTAAGTTTGATGAGCCGTCATATGATTGCACCGAGTAATTATATTAAAATTTCCTATCAACAGTCAATCTAATCAACCTGATGGTGTAACACATAGGCATGCAATCGCTGTTGCACTTGCCACCGCCACCACAGCCTCCGGCGGGAGGAAGCTGTCCAATGGATGATTGCACCGTTGAGTTGAACCAAGGGAAATCGAATCACATGTGTTGAATGGAATAGAGTCGATCACGATCTAAAGTTAAACTGCAGACGTGAGCGGGTGTTATCGTCCTCATGGGAGACGAAGAATATCAGGAAACCAAAGATCTGACATATAATGTGTATAGGGGACTAGAATCGTTTAGTTAAATTTTAGTATTTATAAAAAATTCAATTCAAAACATTGGTTTTAATCTAATCTGTAATGCTAGAATATAATGTATGGATGTCAAATGAGGCAACTCATTGAGTATAGGTGTAAATACTTTTTACAGGTACCTAATTGACCGGATCTATATAAATGTATAAAATGATCTTTTATTGTTCAAAAGAGTGTTCGTTTTTTTTGCGTCCGAAATGAGCTGCTGTACGATCAGATTGAATGAAATGAATAGAAATTATATTTGACAAAAACTTGTGCAGCTGATCAGAACGTTTGTGCGAACCTCAGCAAAAATAAGTAAGTATGCTACATGTCAAAAGATCTTATTATTGATAATTGATCCTCAGAATCGGGTCTAGATTAGCCTTCCAAGATTTGAACTGATTTGGTAAGAAACTGCCTGGGCACAAACCATTTGAAGTTTATATGGGAATTACTATGGAAAAACCAAACCTTTTCTTCGTAGTCTTTTATCCTTCTTCCATATTGCACCGTTAAAAATGTCTATAGCTATTCTTATGGAAAATTTTCTCAGCTACAACTTTGCGGAATATTGTTTTTCAGCCAAACATCAAATTAAATTAATTGTTTAAGAGATTGATAACCTTATGGCATGATCAAGCAACTGTTTTGTGGGCAACACTGTATTCTGCAGTGTGACATAGTAGCCATGATGTTGTTAGCTCTATTCTTCGCGCCAGAAACACCAATGTTGCCTGCTGAGAAGTTAATTGAGCATAATCATAAGACAATAGTGACTTGAATCATTAATAACTTTTGATCCTTACATTTTATCTAAAAATGGTCTTGAACAAAGTTGTAGCAGTGAAAATTTACTACAAGTAAAACTATCAATTTTTACAGCAGATTAATAGGGTTAATTATTAGATAGATATGAATACATAATTTGGTTTTTCCATAGTAATTTCCATATAAACTTCAAATGGTTTGTGCCAAGTCAGTTTATTACTAAATGACTTCAAGTTTTGAAAGGCTAATCGGGAACCAAATTGGAACCGTTTGAATACTGTGAAGCGAAAATTTCAAATTTTGCATCAGTCTATTGTCCACGCAAGGGGAGGAAGGATGCCTAAAATGTCTAGTCATAAAACTCAGTTTCTGAAATGATTCAATTTAATTTTAAGGATCTGAAAACACCAGCTGAATGTCAAAATGCCAAATATATCAACTGTTATAAGACTAATTGAATAATTGTCTAGTCTAGACGTGTGCGTGCCACCGCCCATATCCAGGGGTGGATGTAAGCCCTCCGACCATAAGACCGAGCAAATATTCGTTGTATTTTTTAATTTATCATATTTTTTTTTGCTAAAGCAAATCATTTTCCTTATACGTTCTATCATAAAGTTTAGTTATGAACTTCTGATTTAATTTTAAACGTTGCACAGTGGGGAATTTGGCAGCAAAAAGGCTTGAAATTGTCTGCCGCTCAAACCACACATTGTAACACATGACTTCCTTTGGGAAAAATGTCAAGAATTTTATTCTGCATATCTGGCATATCAATTGGCGCACGCTGTGATCATTGCATGTTTGGAGCCTATTTTACCCTAAAATCCCATATTTTCTGTAGTTCTTTCCCATTATGATACTTCACTGATTCAAAAAGTCAGTACCTTTTATCAGAAGTAGCCAATTTGTCTTCTAGTAGTCAGCTTGTGCCTTTTTAAAACTATTGATAACATTCATATGAGAGCATGTGGTCAAATAAGCCAGATTTTGTATTATATATTAAAAATAAAAAAAAAAGATCTGCTCAGCAAGTGGATTACAATAGTCTAAAGGACAAAACTGATACAAATGCATGTTTTAAGCGTATTTTGCACTGGTATCTCTTATCAAAACAATTAACTTTTTCTGAAACATTTCTGATGGCTGAACAGTTTCTGCCGCTGAAATGTTAACACGAGATTCAGGTTTCCTTGCGGTAAAAAGGAATCCAAGCATCAAATGTGCTTGTTTTCATACTGTGTAGGGACAAATAAATACATGTTTAGCGCCTGATTTACCCCAAAATCCTCTATCAATTGAAAGCATTTAAACTGGTTTATTGGCTTAAATTAAAAGACAATAACTTTCTTTGGAAATTTCCTATTTGAATAACTATTGGAAACATTTATAGGAGAATGTAGGGTCCAATAAGCCATGTGTCAAATATACAAGTTTGCTCATGTTGAATGGCATATTAAAAAATAAATATGTACGCTGTACAAAATATTCAGTAAATTAGTTGCAATAGTCTAAAAGACCAAAATTAGGCATGTTTAAGTATAAACCATGTTTTGCACCTGTACCCTTTTTACTTAATTTATATGTTAAGTTTCTGTAATTTTATGCCTTTTTTTATTGGGATCAGAGTAACTTGTCATCGAAGTGTACGGTTAGAGATTTGGTAAAGATTTAAAATGTATGCTATTCGCAATGGCAGGCCCCGATTCTGCGACCGGATTCTGTCATTATAATATGGCTAAAATATTGAGGAACGGTGATTCCTTATTATCCGAGCACTATAGAGTCTTTTATTGCAAACCCATGAAGGAGAAGTTATTTGGAAGAATCCAAATCCTCAGGCAAGTTCATTCTGCCGCATAAGATCAATGAGGTGGGTAAAGGAGACTGAAGGAATCACCAAGCAGTTCTTTGACATTTTTTTTCGCAGAAGTTGAGGCAATTAACAGCAACCCGGTTACAGTTGTTGTTGGAGAAGTCACGCTGCATATTACAGTATCATCCGTTTACACCATGATAAATGGTAAGGTAGTAAACGCGACTGTTGGAAACCGTGATACTCATGCTTTGTGTCAAGGGTTCTGATAATTGCATTGGTCCATCGTACTTTCATTCTCGATTGAACTGTGTTGAGTGGTCGATAAGAATGGCTGCCAAAAATTCAGTGGAGGGTCATCCAGCTCTCACGCATCCACTTGTGAAAGCAAAAACTCGAGAAATGGCAGATGAACTGGAAAATCACTTTGGCATGAACATAAACTGCTCAAAAATCGGGGGCAGTGGAAGTACACACTAAGATTTTGTTTTCGTGTTCGGTAAATTTTACCGAAATCAGAACAGCTGAACGTTCGGTAAAACTTTGACCTTCATTTTAAAGGCTATTGAACTTGAAAATAATTTTAAAACATGTTCAACCTTGCTTAAATGATCAAATCTTGTCATTTTAAAGAGATTTAGTTTCGAAGTAGCTGCAAAGCAATTGAATTGAATTGCATAAATTTTACCGAACGGTTCAGCTGTTCAGATTTCGGTAAAAATTACCAAAGTCGGCGATAATTTCTAAGTGTGTAGCAACAATGGTAATACTGCGAGAAAACTATTGTCAGACCCAGTCAAGTTTGCTGAAGAACTGAACATCGACCTAAATTAAGTTGAAAATCTCAGATTGATAAGCTGTCTCGCTTTATAAGACAGAAAACATGATTCGGATAAAGTGGCCCACCTGTACGCAGAATTCGAACAGCAAGTTTCACAGGAGTTTCCGTTTGTGCGTAACCTGCCGCCACAAGTACCAACATTTGGCGGAGTTCATAAGACAACTGGTAAGCTTAGTAGTATATCTTAGCCTATAACTGTTAAGGATTTTTTCAACAGCCTTTTCCTATGAATTTTGTGGATGAGCAATCTGGAGAACGCTGCCATAAAATTTATAAACATATCAGACCGAATCTGGTACGTCAAGTTTCTCCTGAGGCAAACTTGATGGATATGATCCGAAGATCGCGTGTGTGGTGGTACAGCATACGGTCCATCGGAGGACAACAAAGTCTGATGATGCATTTGAGGCAAAACTGCAACAGTTCATAGTAGAGTCTGATGATGGAGTGGCCTACGCAGAAAACTATGGTGATGATGATGACCATTCTAATTGGATCAGTGACAGTGATGATGACGATGATCCAGAATAACAGAGTACCGCAAAGTCCTAAATAATTATTTTATTGATAATATCACAAATTAGCTTGTAGAAGGTAAAGAGATATTGTTTTCCATTGCACTATGTTTGCCAAATAAAGTCTGCTTCAGTTTTAATCCGTACTTAGAAAACAGTCTATGTGGAGATTGGACGAGATTGGAGACGAAAAACAATCGCAACAGATCAAATGGTTCTAAATGAACTTTCAACATACCAGAAGAATTTCCCAATAATTCCTAAAAATTTATGTTTCCATTAATATAAAGCATGAAGTTTTTTTTAACACTCCTCCAACCAAGCTTCTAAAAAAGGTGGAACGGCAAACTTGAAAGGTTTTAAAAATCATAGAACAGCCATTTTTTTTACGAATTTCACGGTGCTGCTGAAAACTACAAACTTCTTCTCCATGTTAATGATTTATTACCGTGATTTCTAGCATTTGGCTGGTCCATCTCGAATAATCATGAATTGATTTATATGCTCTGCCAATCAAAGATGGTTATCACTACTCAGTGACAACATAGTCTAAACATATTGCTAATTTGACAGACTATTGCAACCAATCTACTGAGCGATCACATTTATTTTTTAATATGCTATTCAACATGAGCAAACTTGTATATTTGGCACATGGCTTATTTGACCCTACATTCTCCTATAAATGTTTCCAATAGTTGATCAAAGCTCACTTACTGGGTTCTAAATGGTATATTTGGAAATTTCGAAAGAAAGTTATTGTCTATTTAATCCAATAAACCAGTTTAAATGCTTTCAATTGATAAAGGGTGTAATTTTCGTCTAGCCCGTGGTTTATCCACTCAGGGTCGGCTGGCTTGCTCAAGGAGGACTCAGAAACAAAGCGGACAAAGACACAATAAAGCAGAACAAAGACAAGTCATTCTTAGGCTCGGAAAATAGAAACAAGTTACAAATAGAAATTTCACTTAAACATTCTTAAATTTTATTCCAACAAGATACATAGGTTGGAGGGTGAGCTCGTTGCGGCCGTTGCTGCATCCGATGGGGCCCTTTGGTCCGTTGCATGCGAGGAGGAGGAGGAAGGGAAAACTCATACCTTTGTTGAATGCAGGTTACATGCCAAAACGTGGTCTCCGGGCAGCTTCTGGTTACCGCCTGTGACTACGCCTGGTGCTTCTTCTGTCCGGGGTGATCT